CAGTCAATTAAAAGGAAAATTTTTCTGTTATCTAGTTATCAGAAGTAAAATTTTCAAAATCAAAGATATATAATTATTTCACCAAGAATAGACTAACAGTGAATTCATTTAACAAATACTTATGTTGAGCTTCAGTTAGCCGATTGTAGTTTAAAAATTCAAACAGACTAAATTTTAAAGTAATTATTTGATTATTGGTACTGTCTATTGATACTATCGGTCAGTTGATAGCATCAAAATTACCAATTTTTTGTTGTTGCTGTTGGTCAAACCAAAAAGGTACCGAATTGATAGTTCGTACTGATAGTTTATTTATTGCTCACATTGCTGTATTATCAATTGATCGGATGCGCTAAACTTAAGCAAAAATGTTCAAGTTTTTGTGCTAGAAAAAAAAAAGCCAGAGACTTTAAAAAAAAAAAAACAATAATTTCTTTATATGTGTTAGAAATGCGGCAAGTACTTTTTGATAGTATAGAAAAAAATTAGAAGATTTTAAATGGACAAAAAAATTAAAGAAAAAAATTTTAAAGAAGGTGATCAAAGGAATAAAAACGAAGATAAGGAAAAAAACAAACTAGAAATTAGAGTTGGAAGATGAATAAATGTTTCATCGATAACTGTCAATTTGAATTTGTAATCTGTTGTGTAATTCCTCACATCAGTTTAGGATGTTTTTTATATTTAAAGTTTATTTTTTCTTGTCTATTTAGCTGACGTATTATTTCTGTAAAAGAAAAAGTTATATTACAGTTTAATAAATTCCGAGTAATGAAAAAGAAGAGACAGAATTGTAGTTGTATTTTTTTGTAGGTATTTGATCTTCTTTTTTTTTTATATCTTTTAGGATGACAATAAATTTTTAAAAAATTTAAAAGGTTTAATATTCAATGTCAAAAAAAAGAAATCTGTTTTTGTTTACTGATATAACAGAAATTTTGAAAGCATAAAAAGCTGCAGATTCAACGAGGCGTATTTGAAAAGCAGAAAATATTAGAGATGTGAGTAAACTGTTGGAGTAAAAGTTGAAAAAAGAAACATGAAAATCTTGTGATTTTTAGATCAAAATGGCACTAATGCATAGGTGTCAAGTTAGTACTATTGTTGGACTACGTCGTACTTAAGTGTAATCTAATCAAACTTTAGATGCTGCTAATAAAAACAACCATATAAACAGTGATGGTGATGATGATTCAAGTTGACCTGTATCAGCTGTATCCAACAGTGTTTAAACAGAACAATAGTATAGTTGACCAAACTTTACTTTCTATTATTCGAATAGTTGAGTAAAATTCAGAAAATTTTATTGACAACAACAATCAATAAAAAAAGTGGAATCAGAAGCCACTTTTCTTGTTTCAATAGTGTTAACAAAAAAAGTTTTGTGACAAAAGAAGAAGAAGTAAACTGACGAAATAATTAAAAATAGAAATTTGAAACGAAATTGTTTATTTATTTTACCAAAAAAAAAAAGTAGGAGAGCGAGAAAGTTATATGGGAACTATCGGTTCGGTAAACTTAATTAACTGTTCCTTTACAATTTTCTTGCCGTCTTTATTAACTATATTTTTTGACTTTTTTTTTTTTTTTTTTGTCATCAGTATTAGTCTTATTTTTATTTTTATTCTTACTCTTATTATTACTACTATTATTATTATTACTTTTATTAGTGTTATTTTTATTATTGTTGTTGTTATTTGGTTCCACTATAAATTTTCTACTCGGCTGCCAAACATCATTGTTTCTCCCTTCTCCCCTCCATCTAGCAAAAAAAAACCTATAGTTTAGCGGTTAATTTTAGGTTCCATTAGTTGTCCCGAAAAATTGTGAAAAAGGGTGAAACAGAAGAAAAAAAAAATGCCAATGAATGTAATTTCTATTATTACCGCACTGTAGCACTAACTATAGTATTTTTAAATTGTAAAATCGTTTTTTTTTT